CAGACGCATACTGCATGGTCTTGGGAGGGTCCTGAGCACAGGCACTTCTGTCCCCATGGAGATGGGGCCGCATCGCCCTCCCAATATGTGGTTGTGTTCACCAACCTGGAAGCTTCCCAAACCCCCGAGTGGGATTTCTATAGAGGCTTCTTCTTGTAGGCACAATCAATCATTAACTTCACTTCTAGCCCTTCTCTGTGTGTGTGTGTGTGTGTGTTGGGGAGTGTTGATAATTTCAAGCTTCTAATTATGGTTTAGTCACCCTGCTGACCAGTCCTCAAGCAGGATCCATCCAGGAGCCCACCCAAAATTGCCTTATGGGAACAAAAGATGCTTCCAGTGTTCTTATCACTTAGAAAACTATAAGGGCTTTAGGAGCTCTGTGCCAGGAACTAGGGACAGAGACCAATATATATATTTTCTACTATTTCACACTGTTACTGATGAAAAACTATACTGGCTTTAACCTGACGGTCAAAGAGAATTTTTATTAGCATGGAAAAATGCTCATGATCCAGTGTTAACAACAAAGAGCAACATACAAAACTGAATCACAGATACAAAACAAAACACCCTCTGCCAAAGGATGAATAGAACTACTTCACAATCTCAGTAGTAGTTGTCTCAAAATCCTGGAATCATGGGTAACTTCTTTTTTCTTTACTTCCCCCACCTTTCTATAATCAACATGTAATATTTTTATAATCAGATAAGGACAAATATTAAATGTTTGTTTTTTAAAACCTGCCAGTCATAGGCCACATGGATACTTTGGTTTATTTAAATATTAGATACAGAGCCATCTCATTAATGTACCGTTTCCCTGGTAGCTCAGACGTAAAAAATCCGCCGGCAATGAGGGAGATGTGGATTTGATCCCTGGGTTGGGAAGATCCCCTGGAGAAGGGCATGGCAACCCACTCCAGTTTTCTTGCCTGGACAGTCCACATGGATAGAGAAGCCTGGCTCAGTCCATGGGGGTCGCAAAGAGTCGGACACGACTGAGTCACTAAGCAAGCACGCATGCAAACCCTTTTTAACAGTAAGACATTACTCCAAGAACATCAGCTCAATGCATAGTCATATCCATAGAACTAATGTTCATTTTGGACATCCAAGAATGTGTAATGCAGGGAATTAATTCTGTCTTTCAAACATGAGGTTTCAAGAATATCAATATTATTGCTCAAACATGGGGAAAGATTAATTACCTTCATTTCCTACTGGATCTTCAAGTTGGCACAATAATGGACCAGCAGAAACACATCTGGTCACACTGCTGATGAAAAGTCTACTACCAAAGGTAGGCAGTGTTGTCTTGCACAAAATGAATTTCTCTTTTTTTTTAAAAAAAAAAAAGACATTGACAAGTAGCTGCCGTGTCCAGAAACTGAAGCTAACACATTTTATGCTGTGTTATCTTGACGAAATTGTTTAGCCCTACATACTCAAATACCAATATATTTCTCCCCTCATATTTGAAAAGGAACATTTTGACAAAGGATAAAAATCTTGAAATGTAAACATTACACTTGCCAAGAGTAATAAAACAAAATATGCTACCTTCTAAAAACTTGGGAAAAATCAGATTTCTGTTTATAAAGTTTAAGAAATTCTTCAAATGCTTTTCCTTGCACAGGTATAGTAAATGCTCAAACAGGTGACAGGAGATAATATTATGGGTGTTCTAATTGAAGTATCACTTTTATTGTAAAGTTTTCATTTAAAAACTCAAATGATATGAGATTATAGTAATCCTATATTTGGCCAAAGTGAAAAAGTATAGCCACAACATAAATGTCTTATTTTCTAGTATTAATCAGCAGTAAAGCTGACCTTTCTTGATAATTATCTAATATGCCAATCATATCAGATATTCAAAAGGAAATAACATAGCTTGAGTTAAAGAAAACTTTTTATTTTGACAGCAGCTTCCTGCCACAGATCTTTCCTAAATGACAATATAAACAATGGAAGAATGGGAAACAAACACTACAAAATGCTTAGAAAGCAATTATCCTAAACTGCAGGCAGCTAGTTTAAACAGCCCAAGAAAACTTTTCCAACTAGAGTTACATGGACACAAATACGATGTTATATGTAAGAAGCTCATGGGTTAGAAAATACTGTAGAACTTAAAGTTACTACATGGCTAACAATGAGTCAATCCAGACTACTTACAATTGAATTGGACATTCAAAGGCTTGTAACTTCAAGATAAGAATTCATTTTGTGTTGCTTTGAAGCAGGAATTGCCTTCCGTATTTTTGCTAAATTTCCATACTGGGCCAAAGACATCCTCACGTTCTTCCAGAAGATGTAGAACTTATATACCATGGAATACCACTCAGTCATTAAAAAGAACAAAACAGTGCTATTTGCAGCAATGTAGATACAACTGTCTTACTAAATGAAGTAAGTCAAAAACAAATACCTTATGATATCACTGACATGTGTAATCTAAAATAGGACACAAATGAACCTTTCTACAAAACAGAAACAAGACTCATGGAGAACAGACATGTGGTTGCCAAGGAGGTAAGGTAGAGAGGGATGGATGGGGAGTTTGGGGTGAGCAGATGCAAACTATGACATTTTAAGCAGATAAACAACAGGGCCTACTGTACAGCACAGGGAACTATACCCAATCTCCCAGGATAAATCATAATGGAAAAGAATATTAAGTGTGTAGATACATAACTGAGTCACTTCACTGCACTGCAGAAATGAACACAACACTGTAAATCAGGATACATCAATAAATAATTAAAGAAGGCATTTGTGGAAACTTTTGGCCAAAAGGAAAAAAGTAAGACTATAGAGCCAGTTTGCTAATGCCTACTTGTCATCTTCCACACTCTGGCTCAGACAGGCCTGTGTAACAATCTCATATGTGTTTGATATTTTTTTCATTTTTATTGGAGTACAGTTGACTTACAATGCTGTGTTAGTTTCAGATGTACAGCAAAGTAATTCAGTTAGTTATACATATAAATATTCCACTCTTTTTCAGATTCTTTTTGCATTCAGGCCATTACAGAATACTGAGTAGTTCCTTACACTATACAGTAGGCCCTTATTAGTTATCTATTTTATACAGAGTTATGTGTATCATATGTATTTGATATTGCCAACCCTGCTGTTTACTTCCATTTAAACCCATTCTGATTTTTATGTGCTGTATCTCCTGTCTCAGCAACAAGCGAAGAGGATACACCTGAATTTAAAGTCCACACCCAAAGAGAACTTAGCAACCAAGCCAGATGTTAACTTGCTAGTTTTATAAATAATCCAAGATGGATCAGAAACTAATGCCTATTTTTCATGTCTTACATAATGTCAGTGTTAATCACCAAAAAAGGCACTGATTTAATTTCTCAAGCATAAAATTGGGTGGGGGGGGGGATAGGAGCGAGTATGGAAAGTGATCAGCTGAAAAATAAAGAAAATATATACAGTACCTCTTACCACTACAGAGCTCTGGTGAGTCTCATTCATTCTTTTAACAAACATTTGTCAAATACCCTGGTGGCTCAGATGGTAAAGAATCCGCCTGCAATGCAGGTGACCTGGGTTTGATCCCTGGGTTGGGAAGATCCCCTGGAGGAGGGCATGGCACCCCACTCCAGTATTCCCGCCTGGGGAATCCCCACAGACAGAGGAACCTGGCAGGCTATAGTCCATGGGGTCACAAAGAATCGGACACGACTGAATGACTAAGCATAGCACACAAATACCATAAAGTGTGCTATGTTAGATAAAATTCAGATATGAGTAAGGAATCCAGTTCAGGGGAGGGAAGCTAGGATAAAACAGAGGAAATGAAGTGTATTTACAGATATGAAACTCAGGAAGGGAGACGGGGCAGCTATCTGCAACTGGAGAAGGCTTCACAGCAGAGGCAGTAAGGAAGCTGAGACCTGAAGGTTGCATAGAATTTCTGCAGGTCAAAGAAATGGAAACAAAGGACAGTCTGGGCTCTCAAGAAAAGTGCTGGGCACACCTGCAGAAACGGCAAGATGAGTAGAGATGTGTAGCATTCCTGGGGAATATGGTGAACGATGAGCCTGGAAATGTCTACTGCAGTCAGACAGCCATGGGGCAGGAAGGGCAAAGGAGGGCAGGGCAGGTTTTCTGGGACACTGACTCCCATCTTTGGCTACACATCAAAAGTCCCCCGAGGTGTTTAAAATGTAGATTCTCGAATCCCACTAGGAATAGGAAACTCCATTTTTTAAGCTCCTACAGTGGTCGTCAATATCAGATCTGGGTAGAGCATGAGGGACTGCAGGGCAGAAGCAAAGAGAACAAGAAAGGGGAAAACGGCTACAAAAGAATAAGAGGCAGAGCGAGGGACTTCCCTGGTGGCCCAGTGGTTAAGAATCCACATTCCAATGAAGAGGACACAGGTTTGATCCCACGTAGGGGAACTAAGATCCCATATGCCGCGGGGCAACTGAGCCCACACACGGCAATTAAGAGAGTCCATGCACACATGAAGACCCAGCACACTCAAATTTTTTTTTAATTAATTTTTTTTTAAAGGTAGAACTAAAAGAAAATATCCAATACTGACAGTGGGCCAATGGAGAAGAACCAGTACTTTAGGTCTAAAAGAATACGGAGATTTAAGAAGGAGCAAAGGTTTGCAGAAAAAGACATCAGATGTGGACGCTTTGGGGCTGAGTTCCTTACTGGGTAGATAATTTTGTTCTAGAAATTCAGGAAAACGAATTTCATATTTAAACATATTCTAGGGTTGCTACGTACTGCGGCTTAACTGTGTTTAATTAGCTTTGGGGTTTTGCATCCCTCTCTCTAAATACGTGAAATACACATACATAAGGCACAGTGCTAGAAACTTAAGAGGAAGTCGATAAATAAATCTTTACTGAATAATAAAAGTAGAAGTCTAAAAAAAGTTGTAGATTTTAGTCTTTTTTAGAAAGAAAAGAAAACCCTCTCCATTTTTTTTTTTTTAAAGATGTCATAACTCTTACCTTTGCAGCCAAGGCTTTTAAACTATCGAGGAATCTTTGCCAGAAATCCTTGAAGAGCGGGCGGTCAATTTTCTTCAGGCTGTCTTTGGTGCTAGCGTCCACACTGACGTAGAGCTGGGTAACTGGTTTGAGGTCCCTTGGTAATTGAAAATTTAAAAACAAAAACAAACACAACAACAGAAGAAAATTACGCATAAGTCAGGCTCTTCACAATGCTAAACTTACAATCTGTAATAGATGCGGTGCTTAAATATGTCACTGGGTCTAGAGGCTTCTACTTCTTCCAGAAATTGAAGGTATGATTTGTTTCACAGGTGGCTCAGCTGGTGGGCTTCCCTCATAGCTCAGTTGGTGAAGAATCTGCCTCAATGCAGGAGAGCCTGGCTCGACTCCGGGGTCGGGAAAATCCTCTGGAGAAGGGACAGGCTACCCACGCCAGTATTCATGGGCTTCCCTTGTGGCTCAGCTGGTAAAGAATCCACAAGTGTTGAGGGAGACCTGGGTTCGATCCCTGGGTTGGAAAGATTCCTTGGAGTAGGGAAAGGCTACCCACTCCAGTATTCTGGCCTGGAGAATTCCATGGACTGTGTGGTCCACAGGGTTGGAAAGAGGCAGACACGACTGAGGACTTTCACTTTCACTTTCAATGCAGAAGATGCAAGAGATGCAAGTTCAATGCTTGGGTCGGGAAGATCCCTTGGAGAAGGAAATGGCAACCTACTCCAGTCTTCTTGCCTGGGAAATCCCATGGACAGAGAAGCCTGGTGAGCTAAGTCCATAGGGTGATAAACAGTCAAGATAGGACTGAGCATGTGCGACATTGTAACAGAATAAAATACCAGTTGCTTATTTTTTAAAATGACTGGACACCATCCCTAATGAACTGAAAACATTTGATTACTTAAAACTGGCCTCTCTTCAAACAGGTGTTTCAGTGGAAAATAAAACAAGATCAAGCTTTAGGTCTGGCACTTTCAGCTCAATTACAAGGGGCTCTCAGACCAAAGCTTCTCTAAAAACTCTGCCGCTAAGACTTCTCCAGGGGTCTGTGCTGATGGGCCACCTCCCATCATCAATATGCTGAAGGGGTTTTCTAAGGAACAAGAACAAATCTTCTCTGAAGCACAGAGCCACACCAAGGCCTCACCTAGGCCTCTGAGAGCAGGAGTGGGTTGACAGTCAAGCCTTGCGTGGACAATGACCTACTCTGAGGGCCATCAGTAAAACAGAGCTAGCAGAAGGGCAGCCACATATTCACAAAAGAGCACAACCCAGAAGAAAAACACATGTTGCAGATTTTTATCTGTCTTTGCCTTTTTAATCTGCATCCGTCAGTACCACTCATTCCCCACTTTTCTCAAACTCACTGGCTCATTTTACAAAGTAATCATCTACCACATTTCTGCCAGTTATGTTTAAAGCTCAGATTGTACTTTTTCCAAAGCCTCTCTGTTCTCCCTGCCAATGGGTCGCATAATTCACTCTCTTCAGTGAATTTCAAGAAAGAAAGAAATTGCCCCTTAATAATCCTAACTAAATTCTCTCATTATTAATTTCCTATAACTATTCCATAATTTATATTTACCTCGAGAATGTTATTTATGTGTTTTTTTGGTTTCAAAGCCTATGCCCTTTTAAAAACTGACACATAATTCACATGCCATAAAATTCACCATCAAAGGAGTTTATGTGCTTTTTATATCTATCAGGGTTGGCCTTACAACTTTCCTTGACGGACAGGAACTCTATTTTTCTTTTTACCCAGTCATATCAGTAGACACTGAAAGCTACTTTTCAGTGGATATTGTTGACTTCAACTGACAGAACTTTTAAAGGAACGTAGGCCAAACGAATGCTTGTAATGATCTGGCTTAGCGACATATGGAAAAACCAGAAGGGGCTAAAGTCAAAGTTGTTAAAAGTGGGGAAGCTTTGATCAAAGCTAGGGATGAATGATTAAAACACGACAGACTCTCATTGCTTTAATCCCTCTCCAGTGCTGATATGATATCTAAAAGGAATCCTTAAAAGTTCAATAATGCGTCACTGCTGCAAAGGACATCGATTACTGGAAACGCAGAACAACTGCACACTGTAAGGGCAGCAATGTGTCTCACCGCCCCTTTTGCTGGGGGCCTCTTTAATAAGATAGCTACTCTAACTGGACTTTGTGTTTTACAAAACTAAAAAAGACCATCTTAATGGATACTGCAGGCTATCATCATCTAATAACTCTCAGGACTTTGTGTCATAAAGCTACCTGATGCAAAATGGGAACCGGCCTGACCTTTCCACTACACCTCCATACCTGCTTTTAGATTATGAACAGTAAATTCCAAAGGCCTTAGTTGTTTTACAAGCCTCCATCATTTCACCAAAAAAAGGCCTGGACATTGACACTAGCAATAAGGAATTTTGTCAATACTAGATGCTATAATCAAGGAAAGTTACAGATTTTTTCCAAGGAGCAGAGGAAGACTGGAGAAGAGGAAAAGTCCCTAGGAGCTGTGGAGTGCATTCCTGAGTGGCTCAAAAGCAGTAGAAGGACCCTGGAGAAAGGTTCTGAGTCTCAGCTATTGGCCTCTGCTCCCTGAAAAAACAGGCAATGAGGCTCCAAGCTCAGTCATTTGTCTGCCTCCATTCTATACAGAGATAGGATGGTTTTAGTCACATCCTTAAGTAAGTGAGTAAAGTCGCTCAGTCGTGTCCGACTCTTTGCGACCCCATGGACGGTAGCCTACCAGGCTTCTCTGTCCATGGGATTTTCCAGGCAAGAGTACTGGAGTGGGTTGCCATTTCCTTCTCCAGGGGATCTTCCCGACCCAGGGATCAAACCCGGGTCTCCAGCGTTGCAGACTGACGCTTTGCCATCTGAGCCACCAGTGAAGCCCGTCACATCCTTAAAACCATCATCATAATTCCTGAGGTTCAGAATCTCACAATGCTGTTGAGAATAATTAAAAACTATACAATGAAAAGGATATAAAGCGGGAGCCCAATCCCCAGTGAAAATATCCTGTCAATCTTGATATGATTATTGTGATGACCTTTCATCCTGCTAATTTTAAACCTGAGTTATGAATGATCGTATATAGAAACACACAGTCACTGAAAATAAAAATCCTCTCTTTCTTCCTTTCTTTAGAGATCAGGCCTCATTCTACCCAGAATAATCTCAATAATCATATCAAGGTCCTACCTAAAATGAACTTATTCATCTCTACAGAAAGGAAAAAAGGGAGAAAAATTCATATTTGTAAGAAATCAAGGAGATCAAACCAGTCAATCCTAAAGGAAATCAACCCTGAATATTCACTGGAAAGACTGATGCTGAAGCTCAAATAACTTTGGCCACCTGATGTGAAGAGATGACTCATTGGAACCTTTCCTGATGCTAGGAAAGGTTGAAGGCAGGAGAAGAAGAGGGTGACAGAGGATGAGATGATTGGATAGCATCACCATCTCAATAGACCTAAGTTTAAGCAAACTTTGGGAAATAGTGAAGGACAGGGAAGCCTGGTGTGCTGCAGTTTATGGGGTTGCAGGGAGTTGAAAATGACTTAGCAACCGAACAAGAAATCAAGGGAATTCAGTAGTAATTTTGATGCTCCTATTAATAAAAAAATAACCAAAGTGACCATAAGCAAGTGAGAAGTGCACTAAGTTATACACATATTAGAATATTTTAGTTATCTTTAACTACTGATTCATAGTTTAATGGCCTTGTGTTCAGATACTGTGCTCTAAATTATTTTAATACTTTCTTGAAACCTGCTATAGTGCCCAGTTGACTGTTCTGAGAGCAAGTTCGGTGCTGTTAAGAGGAATTTATATTCCAAAGGTTCAAGCTTCAGTACTCTATTTCTGCCATATAGGCTAAATTTGTTAATTTAGTTGTTCAAACCTTCACTACTTTTACTGATTTCAATTTGCTTGTTTTAACCACCTGAGAGAAGCATGTTAAAAACTTGCTCTTTCTCCTTAGAGTTCTGTCCATTCTGAGATTATGTTACTGAGTGTTTACAGATTCTGACATATATACAAACATATTGCTTTATGTTTCTAGTGGGTTTAATATTTTATTATTAAGAATGCCCCATCTCATCTCAAGTAGTGGTTCTTGCCTTAAAGTACACCTCACTGATATTACATAGCCTACCTTTCCAATGGTGTTTTTCATGTATTATATCATGCACTAACAATGTCACTACAAGGTGGTCGTTATTACTGTGATCATTTTACAGATGAGTAAACTAGACACAGAGAAGTTATCTTCCACATGTCAGAAAGACAATAAGAAAGCAAGTCAAGATTCAAATTCAGATCTCTTCTAGACAGAGCCCAACCAAGCTCTTCATCATCTCACTGTGCTGCCTCTCTCTCTCTTTTTAGCTCATCCAGAAAAGCATAGTTCTGAAAGGTATTCCATCAATTCACAGACAAAAAAGAAGACTATATTTTAAACTTAAAACAAACAAAATAGTGGCACATTTTTTTTCTTGGGCTCCAAAATCACTGCTGACGGTGACTGCAGCCACAGAATTAAAAGATGCACCTCAGAAGAAAAGCTATGACAGACCTAGACAGCGTATTAAAAGGCAGAAACATTACTTTGCCAACAAAGGTCCATATAGTCAAAGCTATGGCTTTTGCAGTAGTCGTGTACGGATGTGAGAGTTGGACCATAAAGAAAGCTGAGCACCAAAAAATTGATGCTTTTGAACTGTGGTGCTGGAGAAGACTCTTGAGAGTCTCCTGGACTGCAAGGAGATCAAACCAGTCCATCCTAAAGGAAATCAACTGTGAATCTCACTGGAAGGACTGGTGCTGAAGCTGAAGCTCCAATACTTTGGCCACCTGATGGGAAGAGCCGACTCACTGGAAAAGACTCTGATACTGGGAAAGATTGCGGGCAGGAGGAGAAGGGGGCAACAGAGGATGAGATGGCTGGATGGCATCACTGACTCACTGGACATGAGTTTGAGCAAACTCCAGAAGATCATGAAAGACAGGGGAGCCTGGCATGCTCAGTCCATAGGGTCGCAAAGAGTCGGACGTGACTTAGTGACTGAACAACAAAAAACCAAACAAAACAGGCTAAGAGGAAATAAAAAACTTCTGTGGAAAGGAGCAAGC